GTCCTGGTGGTCGAGTTCTCCTCCACATTACATTTTAATTCATTATAATCAACAACAGGGAACGGTCTTCTTCTGAGCTTTATTCCCAGGGACAATACAGATATTGTTTAATTTTCTTCTACTTCAGCGGCTTTGTGGCAGTGCTTAAGATAATGCGTCTAAACTACAAAACTCGCCATTACAATTTCTGAAACAAAATATAGCGCTGAACAATATTGATACTGTTATGATATATATAATAAAATATTAATATGCGCGATCAATGAACGCGAGCTTTTCGGAAGCGATACGAGGAGTCATCTCGCTCTTATAGTCTCAGAGGCGGCCCATCCGAGGACAGTGACAGAAATCGTGCAACACTGTTTCCTCTAAGCCAAGATCACACCGATGACAGTCATCAAACCCGTCAAACTCCATCTGAAGGCTACGTCATTGAGAGGTAGCCTATTCCGAACCAATCGTCAGGTAAGCGAAAACTAAGGGTTGCTGGGATAATCCGCCGCCAAGACCAGAAAGAGCGCACCTCGGTCGCCGACTAATCGAACCGGTCAGAGAGCGGATCCTTTGTGACTTCCATCTCAACGTCGCTGAGGGACGTCACGAAAGTGAACACGTCATCGGAGCACGCGGAAACCCTGCCTCGAGACCCATCATGGACGGCGATTCCACGTAAAACCGACTGCACGCCCTGTCCCTTAGCCGGCGAAGGAGAGGCTTCAAAGCCAAAGCGTAAAGTAGGGGCGACAATGGGCAAACCGCTTTCTGTTCACCTGCATTACAGCACTTGGGGAGGGGAGCGATACAGGAGGCTAATCCACCGTCAGAAGTCAGGTTTGAATCCGGTGGCCTGCAGGACAGCAACCAGGTACCGATGAGTGAACATATCAAATAACTTGGACTGATCCAAATTGATCAGCGCGGCTTACTCGTCGTCTTTTACATCCTCTAGGATCGTGCGTATCAGATTCAGGTTGCTCTGAATTATTCGGCCCTTCACAAAACATGTCCGCTCGGGTTCCAACAGAATCTCGGTAACTGACTGCAAACGATCATACATGATTTTGGGCATAATCTTAAACTTTGTGTTTAGCAGAGTTAGGAGCCTGTAATTACCTAAATCCCACCCAACACCCTTGTCCTTTTTCAACAGCGTGATCACATCCCTGGAGATCGGGGACGGACCCCTGTTGGAACTAGTTGTTGAACACGGCAGTCAAAACTGGAACAAAGATGTGCTTGTCTTGTAATGAAAAAACGACTGTTATTAGTAATGAACGCGTCAAAACGTAAACTTTGTTTTTATGACAATCTTCGAAGAAAAACTACTTGAATCTTTCAAATCACATCACAACCATAAACCAGAATTTGGGCTGCCATTGATGATATTTTCTCCATTTTGGAAGGTACGCTGGAAAGTTTGCTAAAAATTCTACAATTTTGTGATATTTTTACACAAACAAAAATTTATCACATACAAAATTTATATCTAATTTTCTCCAAACCTTGTGTTGAATTTTTAGACACTAGAATAAAGTTCTGAAAGAATCGTCTAATGACAGAATTATCTTACAAGCCTACGTCATCACACATTTACCTACACCGCCGTTCTGATCATCCTTATCACATGATAAAAATCAAACCCAAAGTGCCAATTTTGACGCATAAGGTGAATTTTCACGAAGATAAAAGATTATCGGGAGCACGCTAATGATTTCATTCGGCATTATGTTAAGCACGGCTATCAAGAATCGCCAATGAAATAGCTAAAAATGAACATTATCATAATTTTATACCAGATCAAAATGCCGAAAAACACAATAAAATTCTGACATAATCTCATTAGTCATCAATTGGTGCCAAAACCTTTCAAAAATACTGCACAACAGCTATGAACACATTGCGTAAAAATATCCTCGTTGTAAAGAGATTTTTCCAAACCCGACTATACTTTCTTTCAAAAGAAATAAAATCATCAGACAAATTTTGAGAAATATAAGCGTTCAGACTCATTGAAGTTTCGAATCGTTATACTCCGGAACACACTCATAGAATAGGAGGAAAATACCATTCGTTGCGCAAGAGTCAAGCTAATTCTATTACAAATCAAAAAGAAATATCACGATTTCTACAGAGGATGGAAATTGTACTGATTCCCATTTAATATATGCCACCAAACATGACTTGATTTATGTCGGCGGAAAAATTAAATTAAAGATTCCATAGACACAGGTATGATGTCAGACACCACAATTTAGCATCAAAGGAGCTTGCAGAACATTTTATTACAAACGACTGTAATTTCGACATGCATCTTAAGGTGCACATTCTGAAAAAAAATATTCAGAATCTACCGACCTTTTGACCTTTAAAACACATGAGGATGGTTACACCATCAAATTACTAACTTCCCGGTCCGTATCTCCCATATAAGATTTATACTGTTTGATTCCACTTAGTAACTAATCAACTAACAGAAAATAACAAAGATGAACAAGATTACCATCATATTAAGCACGTTTTCAGTTGCATGTCTTCTCGCTAGCGGCGTTACGTTCGTTTTGACATATTCATTACCAGGACAGCGAACAAGGCAAGTTGTTTTATAATTACAGAAGTAAGTATGACTGGCGGAAAAGTTAATCCACTGGGAATTGGTTAAGTTGACCAAATATATGCACAAACCAGAATTTATCTTAAACAAAAACGAAATTCTCTAAAACATTGAAATTCAAATGAATCTACCAAAATCCAAACCAGGAACTTGATCTGCTTATTGTGAACGAGGAGAAAAAGTTGTCAAAAAGCAGAGCATGAATAAAGATGAAATAAAATGAAAAACTGGACAAAGAGTAGTGAAAAAAAATTGGTAGCATTTTACTAATCATTACTAAGCGCATTCAAGACTATCTCGTCGTGGATAATTTTGCTAAAACATAACCTCGCTTAATCTACAGAGAAAACTATCAAATTTTCATTTCAGGGCAAATGATCATCACTTTTCGAAGCTTCCTTTTATTTTTATATCTGTAAATTACCCTGAATGTTCTTGGAAAGATAATGAAGTGGTTTCCTGTTGCATTTTTCATGGCTTTGAATTCAGTGTTTTCTTTCTTCTGAGCAGGTTCCCACTCAAGGTTAGAGTCTGCTCTGTTATTTGGAGAAGAAGAAGAAGAAGAAGAAGAAGAAGAAGAAGAAGAAGAAGAAGAAGAAGAAGAAGAAGAAATTGGTATGAAGATCATCCAATCTCGGTTACAGACGCAAGACCTGTAACAGTTTTATTGGAAAAAACAATCAAACTTAATCAGCCAATCATCGTGATCAGAAAACAGAGAATCTGATGTCTTATTAACATGGTTGTTCCTTCAGACTGTAATGTATCTTTGGAGATCTTTTAAAAAAAAACTATCAAAATACAGGGATCTAGAAGTGGAAATTTAAAAAATGTAACACGTGAGGACATCAAGGCTTTATCTGTGTAAATTGTTTCTAGCCTTTCTAAATTTGTGGGAATTTTTTTGTGCAGCGGAAAATGTCATGATATCATTTTTTGACGTTAGAACTCTGGTTTCGACCTGGGAGGAAAGGACTATGCAACAGAAATCAAAGGAAAAACAGTAAAACTTTCTGTAAAAACCTAATCAAATTATTTTAAATTAAGAAAAGATGACAAATTGTGATTTTCGCCGTCCCAGCGAAGTGAAATTGAAAGAAAGCAGAAAATGTGGAAATATCCAGAAAAAAAAAAAATGAAAAAAGAAGTAACTAGAACGCAAAGATGGCAGCTGTGCCTATTATTATGAGAGTACTTGGAAAGGCTTCAAAAAGCTTAGCAAGAGAGATGAAAGAATAAGCAATCTAATGAAAAATGCATTCCATTCAAACAAAGGTATAAGAACTACATATTTTATTACGGAGAGTGCTGTAGAATTTAAAATAATTGCTGTCAACTGATCTCCAGGAAAACGACCACTTAATAATAATCTGAAAATCATTGTAAAGACATAGGAAGAACTGGAAATGAAAGAAAAATTCAAAAGAATTTTAACCAGTGCTATTCAAACTCACAGACTAGCAAAGATTTCTCTGTCAGAAATTAAAAGCATCTTTACGCCGAATTTATTTTTCGTAATTGATCAATAAAATATTTATAAATTATAGATGATATATATATGAAAAGTTAACTATTTTAAAATTCATATTTATTTTTTTAAATGAGTAATGCATCATTAAAATATTGTTTTGGTAACGCCATATCCCTTCAGTATAACAGGGTGCTATTCTGGTTGAATGTTTTATTGCATGATTGGATATAACTGAATGGTAGCCAGCATGAGAATACCTAACGACGATTTGGAATAGGAAATAATTAAGATTAAACAGTGTAAAATTCAAGAAACTAAGTTAGTTTTGAAAAAAAGAAAGAATAAACAGATTAAAATAGTAATTACAAGCCATAAAATTCCAAGTTCGAAGATGGCCATAGGAATATTCGAAACTAAAATAAACCAAGTAGAATTCATTCAAAATTTCATAATACAAGATCGTCTCCAATCTATATATCTGTATACAGTGCAATGTGAAAAAAAAAAGCTTTATAATCTGAAATTTTTCAAATTCTGAAGAAGGCTTCTTTGCTTATACAAAATACTAACTCTGCAAACGTTTATTTCGCTACTAAAATTCAGGTTCAGAGTTTAACCTGTCTGCATTGTAAAAAGGCACATGAGTTATTAAGGTCATATGAATATCTTATTGAAAAATATGCAATAAATCAATGCCAGAGTTGAACAAATTTCTTTATATAAACGCGTTGAATGCAACTGAGACAGGTAAACGACAGCAAAATCGCAATAAATCGACAACAAAGCTCGTCTCACGTTCCTTCATTATTCATTTTATTTCTACATTTTTATTGAATAACACATCAGGCCGAGAAACCACTCTCATAATGATAGAAATGAAAGATAGAAGGGAATGATAGAAAGGAATGATAGAAGGAATTAATAGAAGGAACGATAAAAGGGAATGATAGGAGGGAAAGATAAGGAACGATAAAAGGAATGAATAAAAGGAATGAGAGAAGAACGATAGAAGGAAATCATAAAAGAAATGATAGAAGGAAAGATAGAATGGAATGGTAGAAGGGAATGATAGAACGAATGATAGAAGGGAATTATAGAAGGAATGATAAAGGAAATGACAGAAGGGCATGATATATAGGAAAGGTTAGAAAGGAATGATAGAAGGAATGATAAAAGTGAATGATAGAAAGAACGACACAAGAAAATGATAGAAGGGAATGATAGAACGAACGATATTACGGAATGATAGAAGAAACGATAAAAGGGAATGATAAAATACAATGATAGAAAGAACGATAGAAGGAAATGATAGATGGCAATAATAGCAGGGAATAATAGAAAGATCTCTAGAAGGAAATGACAGAAGGAACTATAAAAGAGAATGATAGGTGGAAAGATAATGATAGAAAGAAATGATAGGATAAGATAAAAGGGAACGATTGAAGGGAACGATAAAAAAGAATGATAAGGGAATTATAGAAGGCAATGATAGAAGGTAATGATATAGGAAAGATATAAAAGAATGATAGAATTAACTATAGAAAGAAATGATCGAAGGAAGAATAGAAGAAAGTATAGGAGAAAGTGATAAAAAGCAATGATAGAAGAAAGGATAAAAGAAAATGATAGAATAGACCGATAGAACGAACGTTAGAGGAAAATGACTAAAGGGAATGATAGAAGAGAATGATAAAAGGGAAAGATAGAAGGTACGGTAAAAGGAATGAATGAAGTAATGACACAAGGAACGATGGAAGGAAAATATTGAAGGGAATAGCAGAAGAAAAAATAGAAGGGAATGATAGAACGAATGAGAGAAGGGAATGATTGAAGGAACGATAAAAGGTAATGATAAAAGAAATGATAAAAGGAATGATAGAAGGGAATGATAGAAGGAAATGATAGAAGGGAATGATAGATAGAAATGATAATAGGGAAAGATAGAAAGAACAATAGAAACTAATGATAGAAGTGAAAGATAAAAGGAACTATAAAAGTAATGATAAAAGGGAAAATAGAAAGAACGATAAAATTAATGATATAAGGGAAAGATAGAAGGAACGGTAAAAGGAATGAATGAAGGAATGACAGAAGGAACGATAAAAGGAAATAATTGAATGAAATGATAGAAGGGACTATTGATGGGAATGGTAGAAGGGAATGATAGAACGAATGATAGAAGGGAATGATAGAAGAAACGATAAAAGGGAATGACAGATGGTGAATGATAGAAGGAAAAGTTAGAAGGGAATGATAGAAAGAATGATAGAAGGGCATGACAGAAGGAACGATAAAAGTGAACGATGATAGAAGGGAATTATGGAAGGAACGATAGTACGGCATGATAGAAGGATCGATAAAAGGGAATGATAAAAGAGAATGATAGAAGGAACAATAGAAGGAAATGATACATGGGATTGATAGAAGGGAATGATAAAAAGCCCGACAGAAGGGAATGATAGAAGGGGCGTTAAAAGGGAATGATAGGAAAGAATGATAGAAGGAACGATAAAGGAAAATGATAAAAGGGAATGATAGATGAAACGACAAAACGGAATGATCGGAGGGTTTGATAGAAGGAAGTATATAAGGAAATGTTAAATGAGAATGATAGGAGAAACGATAGAAAGAAATTATAGAAGTAACTATAGAAGGAAATGAGAGAAAGGAATTATAGAAGGAATGATGAGAGGAAATGATAGAAGAGAACGATAGAAGGAACGATAGCGGGAAATGATAGAAGGACATGATAAAAGGGAGTGATAGAAGGATCGATTGAAGGGAATGAGAGAACGAACGATAAAAGGGGATCATAGAAGGAACGATATAAGGGGATGATAGAAGGGAAACATAGAGAAGGATCGATAAAAGGGAATGATAGAACGAAATGATAGAAGGAAATGATAGAAGGAACGATAAGAAGGGAATGATTGAAGAAACGATAAAAGGTAATGATAGAAGGAAATGATAAAAGGGAATAATAGTAATGGACGATAGATGGGTTTTCAAAGGAATGTTATTGATCTCATAGTATTCTACTTTTATTTAAAAAAATGAACCAATAAATGTTGTTTCAATAATAAATACTGGCAGCCTATAATTTGCTTATAATTTGCATACACTTTATATAACACTCGTCTCAGTGACATAAAATACTGAGGAAAGTGCTGGAGTATTGGGGAGATTTGCTGTTATTTGATGTCCAATGTTAGCCGCCTAAAAATTCAATGTCGTGTTGTGAGCAAAAGAAGAATCGGACGCGATAAAAATGAAATGCCCCCCCGCCCCCCAAAAAGGGAAGCTTAGGAGACTAAGAATGTGGAACCGTTAATTTAATAGCGGTGACAAAAATGGAAAGTTCACAAAAGCGCAATTCATTTCTTGTTCAAATAAAACAAAACATGCGTTGGCCTTCGATTCCTTTCTCTTCCCTCCTCTTTCGTCTCCCTTTCTTCGACCATTTACCGCCTACTTGCTCCCTCATTTTTATTTTCCTATCTCTACAATCTCCTACGTCTGTAATTTTTGTTCGCATTCATATTCTATTATTATCACAGAATTTTCTTATACAACAATTTTTTATGTACGAATTGCTTGATAATTGTATATTAATATTGTTGTCATTCAATTGGCAGTTTTTGTCGTTTCTTCTTATTATTATTATTATTGTTATTATTATCATTATTATTATTGTTGTTGTTGTTTTTGTTATTATTATTATTATTATCATTATCATTATTATTATGTTCTAGAATGCATATTTACTCTTTGAAAATGTATATTTACTCTTTGAAAACAATGGCCCATCTCTCACCGATTTAATGTGAATATAAGTGAAAAGGTGTTTTATAACATTTGATATATATATATATATATATATATATATATATATATATATATATATATATATAACTGTTATATATTTATATGTATATTTAACAGTTGTTTTATATTATATAGAACATATCTATTAGTGTATGTATATATTTACATGTATATATCTATATCTATATATATATATATATATATTTATCCATATATATACATATATATATTATGCATATACATATATATTGATATATATAAATACACACACACATACATATACATATATATAATATATCATACATCTTGATCATATTATATTAAAATGCACGCATTTTCTTGGCATGAGTTAAATAGATTTTTTCGATAGTAGTCAAAGGTTTTAATTGAACATCTGACAAGAGGAATATATAGAGAGAGTACGTGGCTGGAGAGAGTGAAGAGAGAGAGAAAAATGGTGAGTCGATGGAGAGAGAGAAAAAAAGAAAGAACAGGTAAAAAAAATAAAAGCCAGAAAGAGAAGTTTTTAAAAACTTTTAAAGAAAAAATGAAGAATTGGATAAGAAGAAACAATGAAAAATGGTAAGAAGTAAAAGAAAGAAAGAAAGTTTGAAAACTGGTTTCTTCGGAATACTAATGTGATGCACCCGTCGAATTTTTTTCTTTGTCATTCTGGAGAAAGATCTGGAAGCAATGCAACTAATGTGAGAGTGAATAGCATTTAAGGATATGAATCGAAACTAATTTACAGACACGTGATCACACATGGAGGGAAAAACAACAGTAAAAATACGCACAAATACGCACACACATACACGTACAAACACATCAATACGCACCGAAGCGAACAAGAGCGTACGCATGTAGAAACAACCATGCGAGAATAAAACTTGATTGAATCAGTACGTCACTAAATTTATGTGTAGGCGTTTATGCACAATACGCATATATATATATATATATATATATATATATATATATATATATATATATATATATATATATATATATATATATACACGAGGAATCTCCGAAAGTAATATTACTTTCCGCGTAATCTGCAACAAATTATCCACTAGCGGTATCTACATGCTGCAACCATAAAAATCTGCATCAGTGGAGGCGATTCACATTTTTTTTACAATAATGACAGTGACTATAATTGATTGGTACAAAAATGAAAGTAAGAAAGCGCCAAATATGGACTATATGGCCGCTCTGGTAGGACAGTCAAACCAAAAATGGATCGTTTATCCTGATGGTTTGTCCGAAATTAAATTTCACATTCAAAAAATTCTAAAAATATCCTCTTTAATCGAGAGATTGTCAATGAAGTGTTTATGTTATTAAAGTTCCGAAGTTTGAACTGAAAGAATTTAAAGTTACGCACCTAAAATAACTCGATAGTTTAAAAGGAATTTTAATCCGTTCGCTCTTTGATTCGAAACATTTTTATTGATGGAAGATTGACGTACTTTGATATGAAGGGATTCCATTATTTTTCATCGTTATTTTTTTCACTTGGATTGGTTGGAAACTGTTGTATTATCGATCATAATATAATAGCAATTAGAAAGGGCGATGTTGATTTGTTATATATTTAGCACTTTGCTGGGAGATGTGATGAGTCAGTCTTCGAGAAGTAAATTTCGTAGTATGAACACTATGTTGATTATTTTGTTATTATCTACAGAGACGCAGACTCCAAGGGAAAAACGCAATATACACAATGATCTTTTACAAAAGAACTTTTTGTAGATTCGTTTAGAAATTTTTAAATTTTGGACTACATGATAAATTATGGCAATGTTTAATATCCACGGAAGTTATAAATCTATGAATTTTATATTTACCGTTTTTCGTCTTTTAAGAATTTCTAGTGAATCTGGTTACATTAAAATGAGTTTTAATAAGTATTTTCGTTGTAGTTTGAGATTCTTTGTTTTATTAATATATAATTCACAGATAGGCGGTTTCGCGGCCCCTCAGTGTGGCTAGACGTCCGATTGCTTCATGGTGGCATTGAAACCCTACTAATTTGACATCAATCAGATAAATTATCACTAGGCCAAAGTCAAACCGCGGAAAGAGAGGGAATTTTAACGTTTTTCTCTATATGAATTACGCCAGAACAGTAATATATAAACACATGCATGCACATGCCAACACACATATATATGTACATAATAGGAATAATAATAGCTGGTCACTCGTATTCGAGGATAGGCATCTATGTGCTCACAGCTCACCTATGGTTTATATGCTGAGCAGACTTTAGTTACTGAGAGAGAGAGAGAGAGAGAGAGAGAGAGAGAGAGAGAGAGAGAGAGAGATAGCGTGATGAACAATTTGAACAAGGCCAGCACGAACCGATTCAAGAGTTCCGTCTACCCACTCACAATTTCACTAACAAGGCTACCACGCTGGTATCGACCATAGTGAGATTCGAACCCGAATCTCATGGTCAGAAAGCAAACGCGCCCATTTGTACATGACAACACACACACACACACACACATACTCTCTCTCTCTCTCTCTCTCTCTCTCTCTCTCTATATATATATATATATATATATATATATATATATATATATATATATATATATATATATATATAAAAAGAAGAGGGGTGCCGCAAACGTTTTTGGTTGTAATGTGGATTTATTGAGAAAAAATATTATACTTTTGTTTTACATAATTTCACGACACGTGTTTCTGGTCTGGTCTCGCAACCGTCTTCAGGTGAAAGTGGAGATTTTTACATATTATTAAAAATAATTAATTTTTCTTCATGTTCAATGTGGAATATTCTCGAGAATTGTCACAATTACAAACTAATAATAATAATAATAATAATATTAATAATATTATTAAATTATTTGACATCAATATAAAAAACATCAATTTAAAAAAATGAAATTCTTTTAAAATATTTTAAAATTTAAAAAAACAATATTTTGATTAAATTAATAAAGAGAAAAGTAAAGGACCATTTTACTTAACTAAAGACTTAAAAATGCAAAGACTTACGTACGTACACACACATATCTATACATATCTATCTATCTATCTATCTATCTATCTATCTATATATATATATATATATATATATATATATATATATATATATATATACATACATATTGTCCTTGGTATGAGGATAAACTGCATCCAGCAACAAGGCTTCTGATCGGGAGGGTTTTACGAGTGTGGAACCACCTCTTAATTGCTGTTGTTCCCAGGTTCATCCTAACCCGTGGTGGTAGCACTTGTTAGGGTCCTAGCTATGGGTAAATACCTTAATCTTGCCAAAGCAATGCCGAACGATGGGCGGTTTTAAGTAACCCGTCTAATCTAGAGATTCTAAGGAGGTTAGTGGAGAAAATGCCATCGAAGCGTCTCGGTAGCACCGATTGTCTCCTGGCTACTGAAATCGTCTTTTCGGGAGCTAAGTGTGTGTGGGGCTGGGACTACCCAATCCTAGCACCACCTCAAACAATTCTGAGCGAGAGTCTTTCTTTTCTTTCTTTTTTTTTCTCTCAAAAAGTCCTGCGGCGACAGGCAACGGGCGACAAGGGCAAGAATAGGATGATGCTGGCAGCCCTTAGTTCGAAGCCTGCATGTGACTCTTTTCAAGGAGAAGCACCGCCGGCCTCACATGAGGAGTGGCCTATAAAAGGTGGCCTAAAAGATGCTGGTTCCAACTCAACAGGCCAGGAAATCGCACTTGTTCCTTATCGCGGTCGCCGAAGAAAATTATAATCTTTTGTTGTTGTTACTTGGAATATACGAACCCTACTGGACTGTCCCAATCATATTAGACAATACCAAAAAACTACGTTGATCGCATCTGAAGTCAAGCGTTACAATGTAGATATCGCTGCACTCAGCGAAACATGATTCCACGATGAAGGCCGGGGGATATACATACTTCTGGAAAGGTCTTCCTTCCAAAGAAAGTTGAGTCCACGCTGTTCGCTCAACGCTTTTAAGGAACCTCGCTTCTGTTCCGACTGGGCAAAGCGAAAGACTAATGACCCTCAGAATTCCTCTCTCCAATAATGTCTACGCAACCATTTTTCATGTTCTCTCCGTCGGCATCCATGGCCAGGGCATTCTGAATATTCATGTATTCTGGCCTATGTTTGTTTGTGTTATGATGTGATGGCATGTTGTAAAGTTTTTTTTGTGTGCTGTTAAGTATATTTTTGTAACTGTATTTGTTGTTTTGGAGTATTTGTGTGTCGTAGTGTGTATTAGGATTCTTACCTCTGTTGTGTGGTTTTCTTTGTATTTGCTGATATCTCATGTAGTTGTTTTATGTTGAGTATTGTATTTTGTTTTGATTTTGGATCGTGTTTTTTTTAGTTCTATCACATTATCCAATTTTTCCTTTCTTGGTAATGTCTTCAGCAAGGTTATGTTTCCCTACAAGATATTCCGGAATTTTTTCTCTTCTTTGCCTTTTGAATTCTGATAGGAACTGGTGAATATCTATGTGACAAACTTCCTTGATTTTTTCGTGAAGTGTATTGTTTTGTCCTCTTGTATTTCAATTTGGGCCTGCAATTTCGATAGGCTTAGTGTACTTTTTTTTTGTTTTTCCGTGTTTTGTGGATTGATTTCTTGGAATAAATTTTTCCTCCATTTCTATGAAACTTTTATATATTGCTGTGATTTCTTTATTTTTGATGTAATTGAAAAATGCTAGTTTCCATTGATTAAGTAGGTTGTCTCACATCCGGAGATTCTGTCTCTTTGTTTTGTATGCTTTCTCTTGGATGTGTAATTTTTAGATATTTTCTAGGTATTCATACTGAGTTTATATATATATATATATATATACAGATATATATATATTCAGGTAAGATGAGAACGAATAGAGTACATTTCCAATGTTTGCAACATTTAAATTAAAAGACGGCTCAATACAAAGTAGAGCAATATTATTTATTTTAGGACATTACACCGAAAACATTTTTTTACTTTCAAAATTCTGCTCTTTATTTTCGTTTTTCATCAAAGAAATTTTTCTCTTTTTTTCTTTCCTCTATTAATCGTTTTATTTTCTTTTGCTATTTGTGCGTTTGATCCTTTTTCTTTCCATCTCTTCTTGCCGTAGGATCGCTTCTTTTTCTTTTCTTCTCATATTGGCCTGTGATTACCCCTTTTTCTTTTCATCTTTCCTTAACCTGTGCTTGCTTTTTCATTCACACCTTAGCCTGAGATTGCCCCTTTTTCTTTCCTTCTCACCTTGCCGTGTACTTTCCCCCTTTTCTTTCCTTCTCTCCTTGCCGTGTGATCGCCCATTTTTCTTTCCTTCTCAACTTGGCCCGTGATTGTCTCTTTTTCTTTTCGTCTTTCCTTGGCTTGTGCTTGCCCCTTTTTCTTTTCTTCTCTCTTTGTCCTGTGATTGCCTCTTTTTCTTTCCATCTCACCTTAGTCTGTGAACGCCTCTTTGTATTTCCTTCTCACCTTAACCTGTGATCGCCCCTTTTTCTTTCCTTCTCTCCTTAGCGTGTGCTTGACAGTTTTTCTTTCCTTCTCTCCTTAGCGTGTGCTTGACAGTTTTTCTTTCCTTCTCTCCTTGGCCTGTGACAGCCCCTTTTTCTTACTTTCTCTCCTTAGCGTGTGCTTGTCCCTTTTTCTTTTCTTCTACCCTTGGCATGTTATTGCCCCTTTTTCTTTCCTTCTGTCCTTGGCTTGTGCTTGCCCCTTTTTCTTTCCCTCTCCCCTTGGTGATTCATCGCCGCATTTTCTTTCCTCTTCTCATTTTCCTGTGATTGCCCCTTTTCCTTTCCTTCTCTCCTTGGCGAGTCTTGCCCCTTTTTCTTTCCTCCTCTCTTTTGCGTGTGCTAGCCCCTTCTTCTTTCCATCTCACCTTCGCCTGTGACTGCCCCTTTTTCTTTCCTTCTGTCCTTGGTGTGTTTACCCCTTTTTCTAACCTTCTCTCCTTGGCGTGTGCCTGTCCCTTTTTCTTTCCTTCTCTCCTTGGTGTGTGTATGCCCCTCTTCCTTTCCTTCTCGCTTTGGCCTGTGATCGTCCATTTTTCTTTCCTTCTCACTTTGGCCTGTGATCGCCCATTTTTCTTTCCTTCTCACTTTGGCCTGTGATCGCCCATTTTTACTTTCCTTCTCGCTTTGGCCTGTGATCGTCCATTTTTCTTTTCGTTTCACCTTAGCCTGTGCGAACAAAAAAATTCACTCTTCTCTTTTTATCTTTTACTTCATTTTTTTCTGCTTTATTCACGTTTTTTTCTTAAAAGAAATTTATCTCATCTTTTTTCTTTAAGTTCTTTTTAGCCATCCACGTTTTCTTTATTATTTCCACGTTGTTTTTCCTTCTTTACTTAATTTCTATCATTGTCACGGCAATCGTATGTGACGCCTTTCGTAGCGGAATTGTGACGAGTTTTGTGACGACGTCCTCCGATCATCACTCGTTCACTGCACATGTGATGACATCCGAGGTTGAGTGTGTATTTGTATCGCCATTTGCACAGGTCCGTCTCGTTGGACGTGATTGCTTTCAATGAATAATAATAATGGCGATAATTTTTTTTTAAGACACCGGATGGGAGTTCACAACAATACGATTTCTCACTTAGCCGTCTAGCTTTACATTCGGCTGAACTGTTATCTCCCTATCTTAGCTGGTCCCTTCTACACTGACCTCTGGACTCGGCGACTCTTGATTCCTCACTACCGATCCTTGTCACTGGACAGCTCCTAACTCCTCTGGTCACCTATCCACTTCTCTCACGGCTGCACCCATTTACCCTGACTTCCTGCCTCTATCTGCTTATATGGATAATCCTGGGTCCCATAACCCATCCAGAAGTGTTGAGACCACCCCCAAACGACATGAATGGTCAAACCTTGAAAATCTACTTTTATGACTGAAATCATTGATAATTTTTTTTTATTTTCCCCAATTCAAAAGTAAACTGGAGACATGAATCCTGAAAACACTGACACATAAGTTTACAAAAAGATGGACTGGAGACAAAATTCCTACGAAATTCGGATAACTAAGCAGACTCAAAAGGAAGGAATTTAGAATCTCCTTCTAAAGATGAATGAGAAATCATATTACAGTGGCGATCACTTGCCTGATATCAGGTATAGAACCTTGCTGAATATCTGGAATACTGGGCACCTCGACATGGTGTAATCGTTAGGAAGCTTGTTTGGCTAGATCAATTACGACTGAGTAGTGAGTTCGATCCTCACTGGGTGCCCCATACTTTCGGCCTTATGCCGCATCTAAGCCGGGCTTAGAAAATCGATATCTGGAATACTGGAAGAGATCCAAGCACCGGACATATGCGATCATGATACCATTTTGCAAAGGCAAATATATATTATGGAGCTTTGTTGGCATTATCGTGGTATAGCTTTAGTTTCGGCACTAGTGAGCATTATGCTGTCTTAGCTAAAAAGCCAATATTGTGGATACGATGCTTCCAGTGACAATGTGGCTTTCCTATCTAAGAAAGGTACGATGGATTTATTTTCACAGATCAACACATCCAAAAGAAGTCATATGAACAACAGAAAATCATGTTTCAGATCTTAATAGATCTTATTTGTGGATGGTCACAAACTGAAGGTAGTAGAAAAATTCACATACCCATAGGAGCCATATGAAGAGACATTGCACTCTTGACTATAAAATATCTGCTCGTGAGAAGAAAACAACTGATGCCTTTCCAGCTCGATCTTGCTCTCAAAGACGACTACTTAATACGTGCACAGAGATAGCAGGTTAAGATTTCATTGTACTGACGTTCTTGTTATACTCTTATGAGACATAGATCGTGTATCGCAGACAGACGCTCTGAAGAGATTCTACCAGGGATGTTTCAGATCGATTCTTGGTATACACTGGATATCCCACACACCAGATACTGTGGTCCTCGAAAAAGATAATGCAATCAGCATCGAAGCCCACATTAATCGCCGCAGGGTTCACTGGACAGCTAATTTCATTTGCATTAAAGACAGGAGAATGCCCAAACAAATAATCTTGAACGAATTGCTCTACGGCACTTGACTTCAACATAAACCAAGCAAGCGCTTCAAGGACTGTTTAAAAGAGTTCTTTGCAGCCAACCATATAGAAGATCTTGAGTGGGAAACTGCTGCTTGTGATCTAAATAAGTGCAGATGTACAATCCGTGAAGACACTAAGATATCCAAAGAACATGCAATAAATTGGGCAAATGTCACGCGTGCAACTAGGAAAGAGGAATTTATTGATCGAGCAATCCGTCAATTTACATTTGATGAATGTGTCAGAGCATGTCTCTCTAATGCAGGGTCTCGTTAGTCACAAGAAACATATTGGTAGAACTTTCACAAATTACGAAAGTAACTTAACATGTGGCTTGTGTCAGAAACGCTCTGGTCTCACTCATCAGACGAAAACATCTACGAACAACTTGAATAGATTTTATAAAACAGGTCAGGCTCTGTACAAAATAACTTTGCTGTGTCTGCAATAAACATTGTAAGTCACTTGCTGGCTTCAAGAATCAGTATCGTTTTAACGAGAACTAAACAATGGATCAAATTTGTCAGTGATGGTCATACTCGTTTAACGAGTCGACAGCCATCATATATGTTTTAACGTCGTTCCTGTATGCATCTTATATATTTTCTATAATGATCACTTGAAGCAACTTGAACTCTTTCATCAACGATACTTGCGTTGAATAATTGGAATCAACTGGAGAATGCATGTCAGCAAAACTTGAAAAGTGATTTCACAAAGTCAGGGAGACGGCATGGAAGCAACAATTGTCAAAACAGAGGTTGCGTTGGATTGTAGTCATATTCCTTTCATAAATGACAGCAGGATTCCTAATCAGCCATGTAAGTAGAGCTTGCAAGTGAAACGAAGCGTTATAATGACAACCTGAAAGAATCCTTGAATATTACAAACATCAATACACTTGTCAAGAGGATTCCATGTAAATGGTTGTGTCATCTGGCAGAATAGGGGAAAGATTTCTTTCAGGAGTTATCAGTTAGCAAACGAAAAACTGAAAAGGAGTTTTCGAAAAAGGTCCCGATATGGAACTTCCAGACCATATAAATGACAAGTATTGCCTCATTTGTTATTTTTGTGGTAGATTCTGTTTGAGAAAAGGAAGAAAACCAAATACGAAATGATATTAACTACTAACAATTCATGCCAAATTTGTGTAAAAATGTACAAGTCAGCTATTGGGCTGAAAAAACTCGCAAATATTTACAAAAATTAATCTAATAACAGCAAAATACGTGTCTTCCCACTTTGTGTTAGAGAGTTTAAAAATTTGGCTGGTTTACAGAGCAATAATTTATTGAAAGTGTACTAATTTCGCAATCTTCTATAGAAAATTTAAGCATATTTTCGTACATATTTCTTTTTTTCACAAAATTACAAATTAATGCAATGTGAGATGTTTGAAAACAATGACTATAAAATAAAAGCGATAAAAAGTAGAATGGGATATGTAACCACCACAACGCTAACAACCCTCTATCGTTGTATAACAACACCTATCATTTCTCAACTGACACACAATACTCCCCCGGCTCTTCTTCCTCAATCGCTAGCACATCTAGCTTTGTTGAGTAATACCGACCTTATGAGTCATCCGACTTTCTTTTCCCTATCAGTTTGGTTTTCGTTTCAATAAAGTTGATTCCGGTTTCCAAAAATCCTATGATATTGGGACTAATGGTGAAGTCTTGTGTTAATCCCTCTATGTAAGTTGTGTACCACAGACAATGTTGCGTAATTCCTGCCTGTGGCTGAGGTAAACTTTTATCTGTTTACGTTCAAGGACAGCTCCGGACTCAGGCTGGAATAAGAACTCCGGCAATAAAATGTTCAACACTGTTGATAACTATAACAATAGGTTTATTGAATATAAAGAAAAACTAGTTTAGGGCACCTCGACGTGGTGTAATGGTTAGAAAGCTTGTCTTGCTAGATCAATTACGATTGAGTAGTGAGTTCGATCCTCACTGGGTGCCCCATACTTTCGGCCTTGTGTCACATCTAAGCCGGGCTTAGATAATCACTATAAAGAAAAACTAGATGAATGAAGTGTCTTAAGTTTCTAATGCAAAATCAAGTTCTCTCCTGCAGGTATGATGATTCAAAAAATCTAGTTGCAAACGAGAAGGGGGAGGAGTGTTGACCGGGCGATAGGAAAGCCTACCTACTGCTATTACATACAACAACAACAACAAAAACAGAGGGTACGATGAGAGGGGGGAGGTAATTTGCAAAGAGTCCTGGCTGACACTTGGATTCTACCCTCTCGCAACATTAAGTTTTAACTTAGTATAAGTCCCATTGTCTATTTTAAAAAGAAATTGAAGAAAATAAGGTTATCCGGATTTATTGCTATGTCATAATAAATGCCCCAACATACGTGGCAGCGAGTGTTAGTCTGCTTTCTTCCTCATGATAACAAGTGAATGTACAGCTTACCTTAAGTCCAAGCATCTACCTGGTGGCGGGGGGATCAACGGCCAATCCTCCGCCCTCACCAAATAGTGGGCAAATTCAGAAAATTTATCAAGCAAGAACAGTCGGCCACTAAATCATGAGAATACTGACGAGACACTTTCGCATTTAGCCAAAGACATTCAATTTTCCCTTTTTTTCTGATTTTTCTTTCCAAACGGGATTTCTAACTAAACCGTCAAATAGGTTAGAATGATTAGGACAAAATGTGTTACTGAACACTGACGAGTAGGGGGAGAAAAAATACAATAAAATAAAATGAAATTTAAAGATTAAAAAAAATAAAGAATTAAAGAAAATCGAAAAATGATCCTTCTCAGAGTTATATATATATATATATATATATATATATATATATATATATATATATATATATACATTAGGATGTCAAAATCACTACACAATTGCAGTTATGTTTCGATGCGTACCAATGCATCTCATTAGGCGATTGTAAATTAAAGGCGAGTGGACGATTTATTTAGATTTAGAAACAAAATACAACCTCTTTTTAAGAAAAAAAAGAAAAAAGGTGGTTTATAAGGTTTGTGGGCTTTACTCTGATCAAACTAATCAAATATGACCTACGTTAAATTTAAACTAAGCGAAGAAACAAAAATTAAAAATTATTTTTATAAATAGGTAGATTGGCAGCTAACAGCAGCCAGACATAAACTAAAGCGGATGCAAACGGTTATATAAATTTTACAAACTAGACAATGACGTTTTCTAATAAATAAAAATTAGGTGGAGTGATAATTTCTTTGCTTTGTGAATT